ACTTAATCCCTCACCAGCTGCCTCCCAGGATGAAGATTTGCAGGATGTTAAAATCAGAAGGAGCTTAAACTCAGGCATTCTAATATGGGACCTAGTGCTTCTTAACTGCTTTGCCAAATGCTTGCCTGTGAAGCTGTAGTTTTAATTGGCTCATGGACCTTGGGGTAACTGGAGGCAAACCTCATCACTCTAATATGAATACTTAAAAGTCTGTTAACTCACAGTAGTGGAAGCACAAGTCAATTGTCTGTACTCCTCATACCTATCTTCAATCCACCCCCAGTGACTGTTTGCCAAGTTATGCTGTTTTAGAGGATGAAAGGGGGAACCTTTCCCAGATGTTTGTAACCACATGCATATCCTTTCATCCCAGCTCAAAGCCAGGACCTCAAAGAACAGCACAGTCAGTGGGCAAACCAAAAAAGGAAACCCGTCTAGCTAGAGGCAACTTGGCTGTCTAGGACTGGGCTCTAACTGCAACAAGGAAACAGAGAAAGTATAAAAAAGGAAGAATAATAAGAGAATTAAGGACTTTGAGGAAAAAGGAAGGACAGAAGAGAAGAAGATGAAGTGAAGTGAAGTGAAGATGAAAATGAGGGAAAAGGGAGAAATGGAGGAAAGAAAAAAAAAACAGCATATGACTACATGTTCTCCAGCATGCGGGTTTGAAACAATCATTCACATTATTAATAGGAGGAAGCAAGTCAAAAGCTTAGTATAAATGTACCTTATACATGTAAAACCACAAAGGGTCTGTACCCAAAGCACATACAGACACAAAGAAGTGTACCATCTACAACAAAAATTCTGGAAGAAATAATGGATGGCCAAATCCAAGTATGTCACAAAAGTGGAATAATAAAAGGCCAATAAACAAATAAGATGATCAAAAATCATGAATACTCAGAGAAGTATAATGTAAAATCACAATAAAATAGTCTTTATAACTTGTGAGAGGCCCTCTCTCCAATGCCCACTGTACTCTAGCTTCTCACTCTTCTGCAGAATTTGTAAAACTTTGCTTTTTCAACTGCCTAGGATGGTGAAAAAAAAAATCAAGATCCCACCAAACACTATGAGTCATTAAAAGTAACAAAAGTTTCTTAAAAGCATAAAAAGAGGAAATAAGACATTTCCATGCAATAGTTTCAGTTGCATCTTAAGGCAAATGACAGTGAACCTCTAGCTGAGGATACAGGGTTCTCATTGCTTCCTTTGATGTCACACTTGAGTTTCTCTTGGGGTAAAGAAGAGATTTCCTCAAATTGACCTTGTGGTTTGGAAGCATGGTTGTGGAGACATGGGTCATATATATTGCAGAGGATTTTATTGGAGATGTTGGGAGGGAGGACTGGAGGCAAATTAAGATTTTATAAAGTCCAGTGTTAAACACCAAAAACTAACCAACCATCTAAAAACCCAAATCAAACAAAAACAAAACAAAATAAACACACACACACAAACAAGGCAAGCAGTGGGGGTTTGGCAAAGCACTGAAGACACTTGCATCACATATTGCATGTCTGGGTTAATATCCTAGCTCCACATTTGAATCCAACTTTATTTTTTTAAAAATTTTGACAGAGTTACAGACAGTGAGAGAGACAGAGATAAAGATCTTCCTTCCATTGGTTCGCTCCCCAAATGGTCGCTATGGCCGGCACTGCACCAGCCTGAAGCCAGGAGCCAGGTGCTTCTTCCTGGTTTCCCATGTGAGTGCAGGGGCCCAAGGACTGGGGCCATCCTCTACTGCTTTCCCAGGCCATAGCAGAGAGCTGGATTGGAAGAGGAGCAGCCAGGACTAGAACTGGCGCCCATATGGGGTGCCAGCATTGCAGGTGGAGGATTAACCTACTGCACTGTGGTGCCAGCCCCTTGATTTTTAATTTTTAAAAGGACCTCCATTTAATTTTCCATAATGGCTGTGCTAATTTGCCTTTCTATCAATAATCTATAAGGGTTGAATTTCCTCTACCTCATTGACAACACTTGTTATTTTTTTTTCTTTTGAACAATATTCATTGTATTTTGAGCAAGATGATATCATTGTGATTTTGATTCACATTTGACTGATGATTAATAATGTTCACCAATATTTAATATACATGTTGGCCACTTTTGTATCTTATTTTGAGAAATGTCTATTCAGGTCATTTTTAAATTTTAAAACTGGATTTTTTAACTGTTAAAATGTTTTAGTTATTCATATACTCTGGATATTAACTCTTTACCAGTTCATTTGTTTGAAAATTATTTCTCAAATTCTGTTGTCTCTTTGCTTTGTTGATTGTTTCCTTTGCTGTATGGATGTTTTTTAGTTTCCTATAATCTCAAACTATATACAAAAATCAACTCAATGAATTAAATAATTAAACATAATGGAGTGGGCATTGTAGCATCACAGATTAAGCTGCCACTTATAGTGTCTGCCACTTACAATGCCCATATTAGAGTGCCAATTTTAGTCCCTGCTGCTCAGCTTCTGATCCAGCTTCTGGCTAATGCAGCCCTAGAGGCAGCAGATGATGGCTCAAATGATTATGCCTCTGTCACCATGTGAGAAGCATGGATACATTTCTAAGCTCCTTACTTTGGTCTTGATTAGTATCACAACCTGTTTCCTTCCTTTGAGTGACCTCAGTGTGGGGATTTTGCATGGTATTTGTTGAGTCCTATGTATGCTCTGTGCCCACAGGTCAAACTAAATCACAGCTTCTATATAAAGTACTACTTTTCTTTTTTCCCTAAGGCTGTTTTCTTTCTCCAAAACAGCCTTAGAGGCCTCTTACCCATTGTAAAATACTATGATTCTGTACCCGGTTCTTTCTCCCCTGTGGTGCTGTGTAAAGCATGAGCTTTGCAAAGCAGTTGTCAAAGAGATATGAATATGTGAATATATCATTGTAGGAAGGCTCTTCTCTTAAGTGTGTAGAGAAAAAATTGAACTAAATTCAAATCTAGAAAATACCTGTTCAGAAGGATCAATTTATTTGGAAAAGAATAGCAGTGGCCATCTGGAAGCCCAAGAATCTCTTGGTGCAATTTCTGGCATGTTGGGGGTTTGCACTTATATAATTGGCATTAAGCAAAAGTCTTTTTGGAAAATTTTTCTGGCAGAGTGTATTGAGAGATGAGAGTGAGCAATGTTTATTAAATATCTACTATGTGCTAAATGTTTCATTGTGGACATGTCCTTCAATCCTCCCAATCACTCTTCAGGGTAAGTGTACATCTTTGTTCTGGTATTGCTTGAGTATCAAAGGAGACTGTGAAAACAAGCATTCAAATACAGAGGGTGTATGTGGGATATGAAGGGAGCAAAAATTAGGAGTAGGGAAGTCAGACTGGAAGGGAAAACAGCCAACTCAGAGTGGGTTATCAACCAGCTCTCACTGTGGGCAGCTGAAGCCTGAGACATAGAACATGATCCTAGCAGTAATCCTGCCAGGGGAGTGAGGAGATCGATAATTATGCACCATCTCTCTTGCATCCTTGATTGAGAGCTGCTCCACAGGGCATTGAGTCCATACCTGTTAGCATGCTGGGTAGATGGAAAAACAGACCTCGAGTTCAAGAGAAAGCTCTGGTACTGGTGTAGATGGTTAGAATGCAGTTAGCAAGCAATTCTAAGTAGAGGTTCTTAGACTGAAATTCAGGTTTGGCTGATGTGAAAGCCACTGATCTCTCAATCATGGTTTACTAATCTGAATCATGTTCCATGATTGAAATTCTTCATTGAGACCATAAGGTCTTTTGGAATGACACCTCCCTCTACCTGCTCCAGAGCAAAGTTAGATTAAGAATTAGCTTTGGGGCTGGCGCTGTGGCTCACTAGGTTAATCCTCCACCTGTGGTGCTGGCATCCCATATGGGCACCGATTCTAGTCCCAGTTGCTCCTCTTTCAGTCCAGCTCTTTTCTGTGGCCTGGGAAAGCAGTAGAAGATGGCCCAAGTCCTTGGGCCCCTGCACCCACATGGGAGACCAGGAAGAAACACCCGGTTCCTAGCTTCGGATCAGCATAGCTCCAGCCATTGTGGCCACTTGGGGAGTGAACCAACAGAAGGAAGACCTTTCTCTGTCTCTCTCACTGTCTGTAACTCTACCTGTCAAATAAATAAACAAAAATCATTTTTTAAAAAAGAATTAGCTTTAAACATGGTCTTTATGTTTATTTTAATGACAAATGTTTATAATCAGTTAAATTTCATGTTCAATAGAAGTCTTGTCTTTACTGGATAATTTATTTGCTTTACAAGCACTTTTCATGTCAAAAGTACATGACCCAAAGAAGAGTGAGTGGTGGGGGGGCACTCTGGACCAAGCAAAGAGCAAAGGTACAACTATGAGCAGGAAAGTAACCAGAAGTAGTTTCTTCTAAGTGCTCATCTAAGTCCTAAATGTTTTCCTTTAAAAAATTATTTGGGAGGCTGAGCGAAAGAGAGAGAGAGAGAGAGAGAGAGAGAGAGAGAACTAATATTTGCTGTTTCACTCCCCGAAAGCTTCAATGATTGGTGCTGGGCCAGGCTAAAGCCAGGAGCTGGGAACTCAATCCAGGTCTTCTGCTTGAGTGGCAGGGACACAATTGTTAGAGCCATCATCCCTGCCTCCAAGGGTCTGCATTATCAGGAAGCTGGATTCAGGAGCCAGTACATGGACTTAAACCCAGGAACTCTGATGTTGACAAGGACATAACAATTTGTAGGCTAAATGCCCACCCTCTAAGTCCTTAATTTTGAACTCATCACTCTGCCTTTTTAACATGACACCAATCATCACCCCTTGCTGCCTCTCTAGCTCCAACTTCTTATGGCTCAAATGTCTTTTGGCAGATGGCCTTAGATGAAATTTCAAGGTCTAAAGCATTGTTAGCTCACATGATGTAAACAACAGAGAACCAAATCTGAACTTTGACAAAAGTCTATTAATAATTTACAAGTAACGGAATAGTCAGGGTGTAGAGGCAATACACAGGAAAAACCCTGGTATCTGTTGTTGTGGTGACCTGTGAAAATGTCAACCCGACTAGTTTGTATCAATGACTATGAACAACAAGCTAAATTGATACTTCAAAAGTCTGTCTATGACTATTATAGATCTGGGGCAAATGACCAGGAAACTTTGGCCGATAATGTAGCAGCATTTTCTAGGTAAGAATTTCTTTTTTCAAGATGTGTCTTATATGTACATAATACCAACATTGCACCAAAGTAAGATCTAACTCTCAGTTAAGAGTATGGAACTGTTTGCTGAGATTTGTGTTTAATAGAAATGGAAAAGTTCATAAGGCTGTGAGAAATATTGGGATCTTAATAATTTAAGCATATTTCAAGCCTGGAAATCTTGAACAATGGACTACAAAAGACTACTCTTCATTTCCTCTTTAAGGACAATGAGGACAATTAATTTAGCTACATATAAAAGTAGCGATAATTGCAGATAGCGCCATTCTCTTTTTGTCTGTGACAGTGAGTGCTTATCTTTTTGCTGTGGTGAGGAGTTAGCACTAAATGCAAGGTAGCCATTTTATCTGCTTGAATCACATTGGATTGTTGCCTCAGATGTGCCATCCTGATGGCTTTCTACATTATCATTCATTTTGATTACTGTTGTCTGGACTTTCATTTTAGGTTTCACTGTGTCTGAATGGCATTTGTCTTTGAGCTCTGCTGTTTCACCTTTCCTGCAAAGGGTTTCATCTCTCATCCTAAACTAGTTTTCACTTGATTTTCATATTTCAAAGCATAAGATGGTGGGTATCACACTTTATATTTACATTTTGTAATTAAATAAATTTAAAAGGTTATTTTTTCACTAGTCATTGCAAAACCAGTTTATTATCTGCAGTAGGGGAGGAGGGCTTTCAATGCACTATAGTCTTTCAGGCTCATCTTTCTTACATATGACCCCTAGGGAAAGCAACAAATATTTTAGGACTTAAAGGTGATCAATTAAAGGCGATAAAAGGCTGAAAATGTCCAGTGAGGGAGAATCTATCTTGCTTCCCGATTTCTTCTTTAGAGCAAAATCACTTTTCTTCATGTAAATTAGGAAAAATTAAATCTTTCTTTTTTAAAAACAGATTTTTTATTTGAAAGAGTTACACAGAGAGGGAGAAACACACACACACACACACACACACAGAGAGAGAGAGAGAGAGAGAGAGAGAGAATCTTTCTTCCCCCTAGTTCTCTCCCTAAATGGCTGTAATGGCTAGGGTTGGGCCAGACTGAAGAGTCAGGAACTTCATTTGGTTATTCCATATGAGTAGCAGGGTTCCCAAGTACTCATGCATTCTTCCATTTCCTTCTCAGGCCATTGGCAAGTAGCTGCTTTGGAAGTGGAGCAGCTGGGACATGGATCAGTACCCATATGCTGGCATCTTGGCTTAACCCATGGCACCACAATGCTGGCTCCAGAGAAATGATATCTTTCTAAAAAAGGTGATCCTTGGCAGGGAGCATTGATTGTCTCTCATGTACATGAAGGTGACTCAGGATGGTGGTGGGGTGAAGGGCAGAGCTACCCTCCAGCACCTCTACTTTGTCTCAGGTTTTCCTAATAACTCAAATAGACTCAGCAAATGCTGGGGATGTCATGGAAGTGAAAGCTGGCAAAGTGTAGGGGAGCTTAAAATTCTGCCTGATCTTTCCAAATCATTACTTCAAGTTTTGGGCCTCTTTAAAATTTTCTGCTCCTAGAAGATGTCTCCTGTTGAACTCATGTAAAATATGTTCACCAGCTAATGTAGTTTGGGAGTGTTCTTCTAGAAAAAAAAAAAACACCTCAATCAACATAGATTATTATAAACAAGAACATTTTAGGTCCTTGACAGTTATATGTGGCTGGGGTGTCAGCATTGCTCTATGGACTCCTATTCTATTTTTATTCAGTCTTCCTCACCATTTAACTCCTCTTGCCCACACTGGCTAATTAATGCTTATAGAGATCTTCATGGACTTGACTCTGCACTAACATGCTAGGGACAGAGCAGTGGGCCAGACAAGAAAGTTCCTGTCCACAGGAACTTTCATTCCAATGCCTATGCATTGACTTTTGGCCTCCATAAAACTGGTGGGAGTTTATGCCAAATGTACCCCCAAAAAATTGGTCCAGAGGAAGTTTCAGAGAAGGAACAGAGAGGGTGCAGCAAAGCGGATGGACCACCTCCACAGCCCTAGAAATTCTACTACCATTGTGTGACAATTGTGAACTGGAAAAGTACCTCATGGCTTATGTGAATTACATGGTTATCAAGTGAGTATTTCCATCCTAGGTGTGTACTCAGTTATTTAGGAACAGGACACAGATATACTGCCTTTTCTTTTTTTAAGATTTATGTATTTTACTTGAAAGTCAGAGTTGCAGAGAGGGAGAGTCACATGCAGACACACACACACACACACACACACACACAGAGAAAGAGAGAGAGAGAGAGAGAGAGAGAGAGAGAGAGAGACTTTCCATCCTCTAGTTCACTTCCCAGATGACCTCAATGGAAAAGGCTGGGCCAAGCTAAGCCAGGAGCCAGGAGCTACATTCAGGTCTCCCATGTGTGTGGCAGGGGCCCAAGCACTTCTACCATCTTCCACTGCTTTTCCAGGCCATTAACAGGGAGCTGCATGGGAAGTGGAACAGCTGGAACAGGAATTGGTACCTATATGGGATGTAAGCATTACAGGTGGCAGCTTTATCCGCTACACCACAACATTAACCCCAATACTGCCTTTTCCATGAAAATTCATCATTCTCTTCTGTTCATCTTTAAAGGAAAAAATGTATTACTCTATTTTCTTTGGAAATGCCATTTTGTTATCAAGTTTTTTATTGCAACAAATGTTAGGGGCAGTTTCATATCTAACACCTCAAGTTCTCCTTTGCTTTGTAATTTTCTGGGTGACCCTGAGTCATCTAGTGGGTCCTGTGGAGCTAAGAACATACTTTCTGCCAGGGTTATGATGGCTTTCAGTGGATGGCATGAAGGAAATAAATCTGAAATTTCCCATTCTGATTCATATGAAAAGTGTAAAACAACAGACTTCAGATAACTCATGGTGCCAGATTAAGATATTTCAAATACTTTTATAAAATTTATAATCCTCCTCAATCAAGAATAACAAAATGTCATTTTCACTGATATCTTTTATGATTGCATACTCATTTCTGACAACTATATTTTGGAGTTCTGGAGTTTCAGATTTCATATAAGTGGCCATGGAAACATTTCAAAAAACTACAAAGGAACAAATAAGTGGAATCACCCAGTGGAATGAGATTGCCTATTGCCATCATGATAACAACAGGACAAACGTCAACTTGTCACATTTTGTGCTGCCTGATCTGGTTGGGGTTGATTTGAAAAAGAACAGTATTTTGTTTCTCTTATGCATTAACTTGAAGTAACCTCCTCAACTATGGCCTGCACATATTTTTTGGTAAGGTTTTGCCAAACCTATTACTGAAGCCAGTAATCTTACAATTTGAATATTTAGAAGCCTTCATGATTTCAAAAAGTAGAAACTCTCTTTTCTGCTGTTTTACCTGTTGACTCTATTCTGAAAATTTGTGGTTTTCTTTTTAACAAATGGGTAAAACCGTTATCACTTTCTCACTTTAAGAAGGAAGATAACCGGGCCGTCACTGTGGAGCAGCAGGTTAACGCCCTGGCCTGAAGTGCCGCCATCCCATATGGGTGCCGGTTCTAGTCCTGGCTGCTCCTCTTCTGATCCAGCTCTCTGCTGTGGCCTGGGATAGCAGTAGACGATGGCCCAAGTCCTTGGGCTCCTGCACCCTTATGGGAGACCTGGAAGAAGCTCCTGGCTCCTACCTTCGGATCTGCCCAGCTCCGGCTGATGTGGCCATCTGGGGTGTAAACCAGTGGATGGAAGACCTTTCTCTCTTTCTCTGCCTTTCTCTGTAACTCTGTCTTTCAAATAAATAAAATAAATCTTAAAAAAAAAGAAGGGAGATAACCTTGCTAGTGGCATTTTCAGTATTCTTCCCTTAAGCATAAATGTCATACAATCCATATCCATGACAGTTGAATAATGTATTTTCCATACTCTATGTTTTAAATACTTAGAGCACCAAATTAGGAGTGGATAAAAGGGAATGCAATATGATGTGAAGTTATTTCAAAAAGTTAGTGGAAAATGAAAGATAACATTTTGATGCAAAAATTTTTTGAAACCTGTATTTTTCATAACATGAGTTTGAAGACTGTTGGACTGACAAAGCCTTGATTCACTGTGCCCAGTTGGTGTGATTCAGTAAAAGTTGGGTGATACCTGAATGTCAAATAGTAGCCAACTCTGAGGGATGGTTGAATTACCTGATTTTTGATAAATTAAAATGGAAGCTGTCATTGGATGTAGAGTGTGAACCAAAAGTCTTGTTAAAGGATTCCACCTTCATCTACTTCCTTTATTTTCCATCTTTTGATAAAGATTTACTATTCCATTGGGCCAACTGTTTCATCAATCTTCATATCTTTTTTTCCAAAGTATAGGCCTCATTGGAACACAGTCCAAGATTACAGAAAGGTATTATTTTATGTATGATTGTGGGAAAGTCATTTAAGTTGAGGACAGGATACGGAGGGGCCTGGACAACTATTGGGACTGACAGTTATTGTGTAGTAATTGCTATTTGGAAAGTGTCAAAATGTGTAAGATTCTTCAAAGAACTACATTTCTCATTCCATTGATATGTATTTTTTAATCTAAGTTTTCCTAGATTTTTTAAATCTAAGTTTTGTGCATTGATTAACCAGAATAGAAAATAGTACTTAAGGAAGCAGGAGCACACAGTTATAAAGGTGACTGCGCCACCAAGTGGACATTCATAGAGCTACTCTCAAGACAGAAGGATAGAGCCTGGCTTTAGAAATGGGAATTTGACATTTAGAAATGTCCCTTTTGCCTCATACCCACACACACGCATGCACACACACACAGCTGATGCCCTGTAGTTTTCTGTGTTCTCGTCATAAAAGCCTTCATTGTTCCTCTAGTTCTAAGTAAGTATTATGTCTTGCAAGGCTGGCGTGCCAATGGCTGCTATTAAAAACTTTTTCTCTCATTCTAATAACACACTTAGAGATGATTGGTAATAAAAACTCTCCTCAAGGATTCTGCCTCTCCTCCTTTCAAACGGAGATCAAAGAATCATTCTGTGAGGGTCAGGCTAGAAGAAAAGAGTTCCAGCAGCAAAGCATGTGGTGTGACATAAAATAATGACAATTATGATGTTCAAAGGAATAACATAGAAATCACACAGTAAAACTTCTTTATTATTCTTTTCAGACTCTGAATGTTTCTACTTTATTATGTGAGGAAGGGTTAGATTACAAACCCTTAGTTTTTCCACAAAGCAACATGAAGGCAAAATTTCTTCTCCACTGCAAGAAGTATGCTTCAATTAAGGACTTTATTTATTTATTTTTTTGGTTACCCCATTACAAAATCACACTTTACTATACTTACTAAAAAATCTGGCTCTCAGGAAGCAGAGTTGAACCTAGGCAGTGAAAAGTGAGTGCTGCCTAAGTATGCATATGTGTCTATACAATATGTTTGTTAGATGAATGCTCATTAGCAATAGGGCTGCATTTTCTTCAGTTCTGATCAGTTACTGATGAGAAGGATAATGAACCCAAACAAATAGGAGGAATAAATTTTGCTCAGAGGAAAGAGAACTAGTTCTCTTATAAATTTTACTTGGGAACTTTTGGTGGTTGCTTTATGGGCATTTTTAATTGCAAAACAGAATTATAGAAAAAGTCATTTAAAATAGTTTTTACCTCTTTATGCTAAAAATTCTAGTTTCTATCAAAAACATTGTTCAGGGAAATGTACAACTAATGTAAAACACACACACAGACACACACACATGCAATTTCCCTCTTTATCAACTTCAATGGAAACTATGAGGATTTTGAAGAAACTAAATTATAATTTGAAAAGTATGCATGAAGCTAATGTCTTTCATAGGAAGTGAAGACAATATAGACATCACACATCTTCTTAAACCTTTATGTCTTTGTATATCATCTTCAAAAATAGCTTGGGGGAATTGAAATGAGAACTATGTGTACACAACAACTTGTAAGTGAATGTAGTGATTTTATTTATAATTGCCCCAACTAGAAACAACCCAGGTATCACTCAGCTTGAGAATGGATAAACAAATCATTTTATCACTGTATAATGGAAGTCTATTCTTCAACCAAAAAGAATAAATTATTGACACATCCAATAACATGCAAGAACCTCAAACAGATTAGGCTAAATGAAAGAAGCCAAGTGCAAAAAGGCTACATTTATGTTTCAAAAAATTTGTGGAAGTGTGAATGTTGGCCCTAGTGTTAAACTGCTAGTTACTTCACTTACCATAATGATCCTGTTCTATCCATGTTGTTGCAAATGAAAAGATTTCACCCTTTTTTAGGACCGAGTATTCTATTGTGGATATATGCTGCATTTTCTTTATCCATTCATCAGTGAATTAACACAGGTTGTTTCTATTTCTTGGCTAATGTGAATAGTACTGCAATAAACATGGAATTGCAAATTTTTCTTCAACAGATTGATTTCAAATCCCTTGGGTATATTCCCAGGAGTGAGATTGCTATATCATATGGTAGTTCTAGTTTCCGGTTATTGATTCATCTCTCGTGTGTTTTCCACAAACATTGTATTAATTTGCATTCCCACCAAGAGTGCACAAGGGTTCTCTTTCTTCCACATCCTTACCAACACTTGTTAATCTGTTGTTGTTTTTTTTTATTTATTTATTTATTTATTTTTTTATTTTTTGACAGGCAGAGTGGACAGTGAGAGAGAGAGACAGAGAGAAAGGTCTTCCTTTGCCGTTGGTTCACCCTCCAATGGCCGCCGCGGCTGGCGCGCTGCGGCCGGCGCACCGCGCTGATCCGATGGCAGGAGCCAGGAGCCAGGTGCTTTTCCTGGTCTCCCATGGGGTGCAGGGCCCAAGCACCTGGGCCATCCTCCACTGCACTCCCTGGCCACAGCAGAGGGCTGGCCTGGAAGAGGGGCAACCGGGACAGAATCCGGCGCCCCGACCGGGACTAGAACCCGGTGTGCCGGCGCCGCTAGGCGGAGGATTAGCCTAGTGAGCCGCGGCGCCGGCCAATCTGTTGTTGTTTTAATAATAGCTTATCTAACTGGAGCAAGATGATATCTCATTGTGGTTTTGATTTGTATTTTCAGATAATTAGTGATGTGTATTTTTCTTGTACCTGTTGGTCATTTGCATACTTTCCTTTGAGAAATGTCTGTTTAGATCTACTGCCCACTTTTAATTATATTTATCTATTTATTTATTTTTGCTATTGAGTGGTTTGAGTTCTTTATATATTCTAATTATTAACCCCTTATTAGATATATAAATTGCAAATATTTTCTCTAACTTTGTAAGTTGTCTATTCAGTCTGTTGACTGTTTCCTTTGCTGTGCAGAAACTCTTTAGTTTGACAAAATCCCATGTGTCCATTTTTGTTTCATTTCCTTTACTTTGGGTTATGATAAAAAAGAAGAAATCCTTGCCAGGAATGGCATTTTGGCACAGCAGGTTAAGCAGCTGCCTACAATGCTGGTGTCCCCTACTGGAGAGCTGATTCGAGTCTTGGCTGCTCTGCTTCTGATCCAGCACCCTGCTAATATGACTGAGTGGGAGATGGTCCAAGTGCTTGGGCCCCTGCCACCCATATGGCAATCCTACATGGATTTCCAGACTCCTGGCCTTGGCCTGGACCCAACCCTGCTTGTTGCGGCTATTTGAGGAATGAATTGGTGAATGGAAGATTCTCTCTGGCTGACTCTTCCCATCTCTATAAATCTGACTTTCAAATAGACAAAATAAATCTTTAAAAAAAAATCCTTGCCAATTCCAGTGCCCTGAAGCATTTTTATCTGGTAGCTCAAAGCTTCAGGTGTTTTATTTAGGTCTTTAATTCATTTTGAGTTGATTTTTATAATGGTAAGACAGTAAACTTATCTTTTATTCTCTTTTCCCACAACCTTTATGCCTTCATACTTATAACTCATGCAACGTATGAATATGCAAAGTGAAATCAAGAAGACCAAAACTCAGATCTATGGCTGTCAGGAAATTGATATGGGGAGAAACTTTCACTATAGAGAAAATGGGGAAATTTGGGGAAATACTGAACTATTCTAGAATTTGATGAGTTTGGCAGTTACACCACTGTATTTATTTGTCAGCACTCACCAAACTGTGCATTAAAATGGGTGAACTTTGTCATTTGTAAAGTATACTTTGATAAAATAATTGCTTGGGAAATTCATTGTCTTCCTGTTACTAATTTCCCAAACAAGTCTTTTTGTTTAGTTTTATGAAGTAATTTTCTTGATGGGAAAATTCAATCATATTTCTTCTTTTAACTAAAATGTGATGTCAAATTTGGTTCTGCTTTTGAAATTTTAAAACCTGTTTTATTATTTTTTTAAATTCTAGATGGAAACTTTATCCACGGATGCTCCGGAATGCTGCTGAAATAGACCTGTCGACTTCTGTTTTAGGACAAAGGATCAGCATGCCGATATGTGCTGGAGCGACTGCCATGCAGTGCATGGCACATGAGGATGGGGAGCTTGCAACCGTGCGAGGTAGGAAGAAGGTCCTTAGGAAGAGGGCAGGAGACTTATTTAGCCAGTGCCCCAAGCAAACACTTCGCTGAATCTCTCTCTTTTTTTCCCCTCAAAGCTTACTTGTATTATTATTATTATTATAACTTTAGTTTTCTTATGTACAATTTTAATTATTTGAATGATATACTTTTTCTTATTTTAAAAGTTGTGCAAATGTATGGTACACTATGTGATGATTTGATATACATATTCAATGGAAGTTAATCAAATCATATTAGTTAGAATTTCCATCTCCTCAATCATTAAACATTTTTTGATTGGGGTGGGTGTAGTACATAGTGGGTTAAGCTGTTACTTGGGATGACCATATCCCATATCAGAGCATGGGTTCTGTATGCTTTCAATCCAACTTCCTGCTAATGCACATGGGTGTCAGTGGATGACAGCTCAAGTGTTTGGGTCACTACCAACTACCTGGGGGATAGGATGGTGTTTCTGGCTCTTGGTTTTTGCTGGGGGACCTAACTCTAGCTATTGGGGCCTTTAGGGAGTGAACCAGCAAATGGGTATCCTTTTGTCTCTCTCTCTCTCTTTCTCTCTGTCCCTCACCATTCAAGTAACATAAATAAATTTTTAAAAATTGATTAAATTATATGTGTCTATGTGGTAGTGTGATATTTGAATAAATGTATAAAGAGTAGTGATAAAATCAGTATAATTAATATTTCCTTCTCCTTGGTATTACTTTCTTTTTGAACCTTGAGCTACTCTCTTATTTTTTTTCCTAAAATATATGATAGGTTATTGTGAACTAGTTTCCCCACTATGCTAAGGAACACTCAAACTTGTTCTTTTTATCTGACTGTATTTTGGTACCTGCCATCTAACCTCTCCCCTCACTGCCACACTTCCCAACCACTAATAATCACTGTTTTGCATTCAGATAGACCTCATGTTTTTTTTTTTTAAAGACAGTTATTTATTTATTTGCTCCCACATATGAGAGAGAACTTTTGATATTTTTCTGTCTGGGTTTTCTATATTTCACTTGATATCTTACGCTCAGAAAAAAATTAGCTCATTGGCTCTACCTCCAATCCACCTGGTCTTGCACATCCTCTTCTTCTGGGTGACACTAACCAAGATACTCTGTCTATGCCTCAGTTTCCTCAATAGGAAAATGGGGATAAAAACAGTATCTGCCTCAATGGGTTTCTGTGGGGGACTGAATGAGTTCACATGTAGGAAGTGCCTGGCACGGCGTAGTAGCTCAATAACCATTAATTTTATTGTGAGTATTAACATTAACATCTTAGAATAAGGAGGTCTGGGAATGACTTGCTTAGAGTGACAGCTAGATATTGGCAGAGGTCAGATTCAACCTTGTTTCCATCTTATTTCAAAGCCCTCCTTCTTCCCCCAAACCAATATGATTATCATAATGCAGCAATCTGGTTATTTGTGTTTTTTACATGATTTGGATCATGAATCTTTTTTATTGATGGGTTGCATTTCCAAAAGAGCACTTCCAACTGCCTTAGGTGGGAATGATAAGAAAATGAAATACAATGCAAAGAAATTTCTTATTAGGTCTAATTTATTAACTTCTCATTTCTCTAGTAAATGGGAACATTTGAGAGGCTGTGCATGCCAATAAGTCCTCCCAAAATATGCTTCAGAAATTCATATCAAAGTTGATGGTGCATTCTACTTGGAGTCTATTTTTTTTTTTTTTTTTTGCTAAGCAGGGCAGAAAATGCATGCCAAAAGAGCATGAACTGAAACCATTTTAAAGTACTTAAGTTCTAGGAATTAGGATCTTGTGGATTCTCGTATCTCCTTGTAATCCCTGCCACAAAATTCTTCCAGGGAGATCAGAATGGCACAATGAGGCTTTTCTGAACAGACATAGATCATAGGCTGGAGGTGAACTATTAAATAGTATATGTTTCTTAAAGTTTGGGATAGAAAGGACTTTCCAAGCATGATGCCATAGGCAACAACTATTAAAGGAAAAATTAACAAATAAGAAAACCTTAAACTCCTGTGCTCTCACATTTCTACATTTAAAGCACATGGCAAACTGGAAAAAAAATAGAAAAAAAATAAGGCTGCAAAGTGATAATGTCCCATCTATGTGAAAAGCCCTTGTATTTGAGAAAAACAAACACACTACAAAAAAGGGACAAAAAGATGTAAATGTAAATGGAAAAAAGATATAAATAGGAAATTCACAAATGGACAAAAATGGCCAATAAACTGTAAAATATTCAATTTCACCAATAAGCAAAGAAATGTAAATTATAACCAGATATTTTCTTCTGTAGATATCAAACCATTATTCTAACATTACATAGTATGATGAGGTTAGTAGGAAACTGTGCATTTCCTAACATTGATGGGAGTGTAGAAGGTGGAGAAATCTTTCTAGGAAATAATTTGACCCTGTGCATCCCTTCTCTAAAAATGTAAATTCAATGTGATACTGTAAATTCCATGGAAATGTGTGTAATTTTGAAGAAAGAAACTTCTGTGAGGATTTTATTGCCTTTGTTGCTTTTTAAAATATTGTTTGTTTGTTTATTTATTTATATCATTTGAGAAGCAGAGAGACAGAAAGTGAAAACTCCTATTCACTGTTTTACTTATTTTTATTTATTTATTTTTTTTTTATTTTTGACAGGCAGAGTGGACAGTGAGAGAGAGAGACAGAGAGAGAAAGGTCTTCCTTTTGCCGTTGGTTCACCCTCCAATGGCCGCCGCTGCAGCCGGCGCACCGCGCTGATCCGATGGCAGGAGCCAGGATCCAGGTGCTTTTCCTGGTCTCCCATGGGGTGCAGGGCCCAAGCACCTGGGCCATCCTCCACTGCACTCCCTGGCCATAGCAGAGAGCTGGCCTGGAAGAGGGGCAACCGGGACAGAATCCGGCGCCCCAACCGGGACTAGAACCCGGTGTGCCGGCGCCGCAAGGTGGAGGATTAGCCTATTGAGCCACGGCGCCGGCCTCTATTCACTGTTTTACTTCCCAAATGTCCACAATGGTTGAGCTGGGCTGGAGCCAGGGACTGAGTTCAAATCTTCCATGTTGGTGGCAGGATCCCAACTACTTTAAACCATCCCAGTTACCTCCCATAGCTTGTACCAGTGGGAAGCTAGATTCAAAACTTGGAGCTGGGAACTGAATCCCAGTACTCTGATGTGAGATGCAGACATCTTAGCCATCAGGCTAATTGCCCTCTCCCGCCTTTGGTTGTTTTTTTTTTTTTTTAAAGATTTATTTATTTATTTGAAAACAGAGTGTTACAGAGTGTTAGAGGCAGAGAGAGAAAGGGAGAGAGAGAGAGAGAGAGAGAGAGAGAGAGAGAGAAGTCTTCCATCTGCTAGCTTACTGCCCAAATGGCCCCAGCGGCTGGAGCTGGACTAATCCAAAGCCAGGAGCCTGGAGTTTCCTCTGGGTCTCCTGCGTGGGTGCAGGGGCCCAAGAACTTGGGCCATCTTCCACTGCTTTCCCAGGTCATAGCAGAGAGCTGGATTGGAAGTGGAACAGTGGGAACATGAACATGTGCCCATGTGAGATGCCAGCACTGCAGGCGGCAGCTTTACCCGCTATGCCGCAGTGCTGGCTCTTGTATTTTTAATAAGAGAAAAGTTGGAAAAAAATTCCCATTATTAGAGTTTGCAAAAGATGCAATGTCTTAAAATGTGGGATAAAATTTTAAAAATATTTTAGAAAGAGGATAATGAAATAGACATTATAATTTATTATTAAAAAGCAGATAAAGTTATAATTAGGTGCTCATTTCAAAATGATGATGATTGCCAGATAAATACAGAGGGGCATTTTTGTTTAGGATTCAGAAAAATAAATTATTTATAACTTAGTGTCCTGTGTGGGTATATATCTAGCAACACTGGATGGGTAAGACCTTTTATCTCCAGGGTTTCTTGGAGGATTCGTGAAATAAATTCTAGAAAAGCTTTCAGAAGCACTTCTTATTTGCCTCTCAGAGCCCCAAATCCCCCAACTCTTTATTTCATACATAAACCCTCACTTTGAGAAAGGTGCACACCATTTCCTCCTTCGTGGGAATGAAAATTGCTGTTTTTCTTCGTTAAAAATACTTCAGTCATAAGCTTTATGCAGGGACTTTAAATACTGCTCTAGGGGCCATGCTTGCAACATAAATGTACAAAGAAAGATAAAGAGAAGAAAGCATGTGTACGAGCTCAGTGGTGCAGCCCTGAGATTGCTCATTCCTTCCCACCCATCCCAAGGCTGTGAGCTGCCTCCCAAAGGGGGCAGCCCTGTCTCAGCTGTCGCTGCACGTTCTCCCAAGGGAGTGAGGATGTGGAGTTGCCAAATCTTCAAATATTTTAAGAGAAGCCAGAAATCTTGATTTTTATGTACAATCTCCTGGTTTTATATGTTAGCAAATAAATCAAAATTCTCTAAAACACGGTTTGGGGCAACAATGTGTGAGCCAAAGCAAATACGTTTGTGGGCTACAACTGTCCCCTGGGCTGTTGGACTGGGACATCTGATTTATGTGTGAATTCACCACTAACTAGTTTCACTTCTTGTGGCAGGTCATTTTCACTCTCTAGGATTACATGCCCTCACTGATAAAGTGAGCTGCTTAAACAAGACCGCTGGTGTGCATAGCAAGTCCCAAGGAGGCTGAGATTGCTCTACAGGGATTTGAGGGAACTTGACTGTGTCTCTGGGCATGCAGCTACTTGTGCTGCATGTTGGCATTTCCAACAAGTGTTCTTAGAGATACAGTTCCTCTGCTGAGGCTACAAAGAAATAAAACAAAACAGCACCATGAGGGAACTCCAAAAACAAAACCAGAAAATTCCCAATAGACATAGATGATCTTTACACCTTTTTTTTCTGGTATATAGATAAATGATATTTTCTCCATTTAAAAGTCATTGAAAATGAAAAGAGAGAAAATTCAAACTATAGAGCTGCTTTCCTCATTTTCCTGAAATCTCACCTCTTACCACTGCATTTT